CTGTTCCAGAACTGTGAAACAGAACTTTTGTGTTTGTGATTAAGGGTTAGGGTTCTAGGCAATATTGAAGCAAGAAAAAGAGGAGGATATCTCACTAAAACTGTAGGTTTAGCCTGATGGTATAGTCAGGGGGAAAGAGAGCAAAAGTATAGAAGCAGAAGATTATCATAGGCATAACACACATCTTTGCAGCTTGAGCTATTTTGAAAATAAACCCCTTATTCAATGGTTCTGGTAGCTGATTATGACAATTGATTGGGCTTTGGAATCAGGTAGTTAGCTGCATAAGGCCCCTGTTATTTAACCAGTCACTAGAAAATTAAACAAGAGCATAGATAACCAGGGAAAAAAAAAATTAGAGATCATTGTACGGAACATATAAAGCACCTTTAGCGACATAGACACGCTGACATGTCCCTTCTCCCTTTCAAAAAGTATAAACACGGCATGCCTATGTAAAATTTTTATTTATTGATCTACTTCATTAAAAAGAGCGCAGCATCATCCTATATATCCTATGTATCTTATTTGTTCATTCTCAGAAAACTTCTATCAAATAAATATAAAGGTATTAAATTATATTATTCTAATTATTAATGTATACCTAAAAAGCATTAAGCAAGAACGTGTATGAGCTCCTTGAAATGGGAGTCATTTTGCTCGAAGTTGTCTTAGAAGTGTCTGAGTGGAGCAAAAATTCAATGTTGACATATTTCTTTACTGTGACAAAGCTAAATAAATAACTTTCTTGAAGAACCTAACATTAATGTACTATCACCTCTAAGACTGAACTTAGAGTACTAAATAAAATGATGCAGGATGACTGCACACTCCGCAATTCCAAACAGGTTTTGTTGGCTGCATCATGCTTGCTTACTTTGGATGTTTATTTGGTTTGTTAACCATGGGTTTTATTTGTCAGTTACTTTGTTTGGCGTGTTCCTCTAAAATTAAGGGAGAGATTGTGCATCTGAACTAATTTTTGTTGTTGAAAACAGGTACTGATATAGCTGGAGAAGTAGTAGAGGTTGGACCCCAAGTCAAAGATGTCAAAGTTGGTGACAAAGTTGTTGCTAAAATTTCTCATGATGTAATCTTCTCTAACTTTCTTTCTATGTTTTCGTTTTTTGGGTTTTTTTTTTTGGGGGGAGGGGGTGCAGATCTCTACCTAACTCCTTTATTCTGGTGGCTGCGGGATAATTGTGACTGAAAAGAAAAATGTATAGCAGATAGAGAAAAGCAAAACTCAGTTGTTTGCTAATTGCACCATATGTTTAGTTTTCCTACTCCTTATACTTTTATCTGTTAACTAAACGTAACAATTGTGAATTATATCCACCGTTCTTAGTCCCTTTTAATGGAGACTGTGTGCTTATTTTATTTGCTATCTAGAAAACTCAGGATTTATGAGGGCTGACTTTCCTTCTTCCTAATATCTTAGCAGTTTTAGTTTATTAGGTAGTTTTTTCAATTTTTTTTAACGTACCTTGTAATTTAAAAAGGAAAAAAAAAAAAACACTCTGAGGATACATGATTGTTTGCATGAGTTTACAATCTGTGCCAGTACATTCTAATCATTCTTGTCGAATGACAGCGTGGAGGTGGGCTAGCTGAGTTTGCTGTGGCTACTGCGAACTTAACAGCTTTAAGACCGTCTGAAGTTTCAGCTGCTGAAGCTGCGGCGTTACCTGTGGCTGGACTCACAGCTCATCAGGCCCTCACTGAAATTGCTGGAGTCAAGCTTGATGGAACTGGCGAACAGAAGAACATCTTAGTAACTGCAGCTTCAGGTGGCGTGGGTCACTATGCAGTTCAACTGGCAAAGTTAGGGAACACCTTCGTGACAGCCACTTGTGGGGCCCGCAACTTTGACTTTGTCAAGGGCTTAGGTGCTGATGAGGTTCTTGACTATAAGACTCCAGAAGGAGCTGCTTTAAAGAGTCCATCTGGTCGAAAATACGATGCGGTGATACATTGCACGACCGGAATACCATGGTCGACTTTTGACCCTCAATTGAGTGACAATGGGAAGGTAATAGACTTAACGCCTGGCTTGAGTTCAATGGCGACTTTTGCTCTGAAGAAACTCACATTCTCTAGGAAGCAGCTGATACCGTTCTTGGTGACAGCCAAGAAAGAGAACCTGAGTTTTCTGGTTCAATTAGTGAAAGATGGGAGGCTTAAACTGTCATTGACTCTCGTTTTCCTTTGAGTAAAGCTGAAGATGCATGGGCTAAGAGCATCGATGGCCATGCTACTGGAAAAATCATTGTGGAGCCATAGGCAAAATTTCTTGGAACTGCTGGATCCTCTGTTTCTGTGAGGGGTTTGTGGGTCCCCTCCCATTCATATATGTATGTAGAAGAACAGTAAATAATTATATGTTGGATTTTCACGATGGAATGAATAACTTGACATATCATTGAGACTTGTGGTTAGATTTTTAACCCTGTCGTCTTTTGAGCTTCTGTTCTGTAAGTTATTGATTTATGAGTGAACTTGTCCTGGTCACCTTCTGTCTCCTCTCTTGTTGCTTTTGGAAGGAAAAAAAGGGTTAAATGAATAAATCCATTATGAATAGAATGGTTGTATAGGGGGGGATATAAATATTTTATAAATTACATTCACCTATATAAATGCAAGAATTACACGTGTGTTAATTTTTTATGTAATACTACTTCCTATTCTAATTATAAGAACTAGTTGACTAATTTGAAGAAATTAAAGAAATAAGTTAAATTAGTTATTTGTAATAAATATGTGTTACGATTGTTAAAAGAACTACTTTACGAAAAAATGCATAAATATGATGGACAAATAGATTGAAGTGTTATATTTAGATTAAAATAAAAATTAAACAAGATTTTATATCAAGATCAGAGGTAGTATTGGGTTATATCTCAAATTGAGTCAAAGCATGTCAGAAGAAGACATGGGATTGCATCTACCCGATAAGTCATTTTCTAATATTTATGCTCTTTAACCTCCAATTGTTTCATTATGTAAATTATGTAGACTAAATTTTTTTTTTTAACGTAGTTGTAACTCTTAGGTCAATTTTAATAGTGGGGAGCATATATAGAAAGAGGGTGTGACAAGTGTGTTATTTGTGAATGAAAAGAATTCGATCCTATCTACAAGTGTATTATTTGTGAATGAAAAGAATTAGATCCTATCTTCTCTTTAAAGCTCTTGTTCCTCTCAACTTACATTTTGTAGTTTCATAATATACCTATGGATGGGAACGGTTTTTCATGCAATAGGAAGCTCTTTTTTTTTTTTGGGTTCAATTTCAAGGAAGCTTATTATACCCTATTCATGCCAATTCAAGGAATAATAAATACCGAAATACATAATGAATATTTGGCCAAAAAAACACGAAAAATACATTTTTTTTGGAATGGAAAAGGTATATCCATTAATCATAAAAGAATAAAATCAACGTTACAAACAAAAAAGGTTTTCTTTCATCATCCATCTCATATTAAGAAAGATAGAATGTGATCAAAGATATAATAATTTTCTTCTATCCTGTGTGATAGCTTGACAAGATGATATCAAAAAATTATTCTCTTTATGAGTATAGTTAATCATCACCTGCCAATCCCTATAAAAAAGTAATCTAGCTTCATCAATAATATTTTTGAAGGGTGTGTGGAATCATAGCCGCTATGCAAAAAATTAATAACCTCAATACAATAAAAACAAACAAAAATTAATCGATATTTTTACTTTAATTTTGCTATTGATTACTTTTATTTCTAAAAAATAGCAACCAAAGCTTCTAATATATTTCTCAAAATTTTGAAATTGAAGTAATCAACACCAAAACTAGAATAGTTGATAGTTTAAAAGAAATAGTCACTATATCTTTAAAACAAAAATATCAATAACAAAACTAAAATAATCAATAAGTAAATAAGAATAGTGATTGTAGCACTGATGGCAAATCTAAAGCTAGGGGTACTTGCGTTGCATTCTGAGAATTGAGAAAAAAAGTGACTTTGACAAAAAAAAAAAAAAAAAAGCAGGGTAGTGGTGTCATTTTGTATCATTTCAAAATACCAATGGGTGCAAATGTACTAATTTGGCATTTAGCTGCTATTAACTACTCTTCTTTCTCGAAAGTAACAATCACACTTCCATACATTTTTTTTAAACTTTTAAAATAGAAGTAACTAATAAGAAACTTGGAATAGTTAATGCTGGATGGTTAAAGAAGAGTAACTACCATATCTTTAAAAACAAAATAACCCATAACAAAATAGAATAGTTGCTGGTAAAACAAAAATAAAATTAGAATAGTTAATAGGGAGAATTGCAATTAGGTCCTACTCAAGGGAATTAAATACAAAAAGTTTCCTTGAAATCATGAAATTATTCTGAAGTCCCAAATAACCTTTTTGTAATAAATTTTATTTGTTTAACTACCAAATTACCCTTCTTTTTTTTTTTAATTTGTATTGACAACTGAAAGAGTAGTAGTTGACAACTCAGGGTGTAAGGATTGACAACTATCGCGGCTAGTTTGACAACACATTTTCTCACCATATCACACCATAAGTTGTCAAACCAGCCGCGATAGTTGTCAATCTTTGCACCCTGAGTTTCAATCACTGCTCTTTCAATTGTCAATGTAAACTTAAAAAAAAAGAAGAGGGTAATTTGGTAAGTGAATAAATAAAATTTATTACAAAAAATTTTGGGACTTTAAAATAATTTCATGATTTCAAAGGACTTTTTTGTATTTAATTTTTAAAATATGGGGCGAGTGACGTCATTTTGCATCATTTCAAAATATCGAATCAGGTCAAATGCACTAATCTGATATACTACCTAATTTGGAATTTAGCCTTCCCACTAATGTGGCAGCCAGCATTTTTAAAGGCTTTTTTTGTTGTCATTTTCCCAAATAGTCATCCTATCTTTTTTTTTTGGTTGGGGTGATAATAGTCATCCTATCTTCCAAGTTCCAACTGTTTGATTCTTATTCAGGTCAACAAAGACTGTTTGATTCTCGTGATCAGGTCAGAAAAAACTGTTTGAATCTTCCCTACCAAAAAGATACTATTTAATAAGGCGAGACGCCATCCCCACGAGACTCCTAACCTCGCAGAGATGGCAACGAAGCTTATGCAAGCGATTCAGTACGATCGCTATGGCGGCGGCCCCGCCGGTTTGAAGGTGATTTTCATTCTTCTGCGTCTTTCACCTACAATTCATCTACACCTTTTCTTTTTTTGAGTTTTTGTTGGATCGCTTAACTTAAAAAGGTTTTCTGTAGATAAAAATCAAGAAGGAGAAGGAAGACCAGGAGTTATACTAATGAATTGTGATTTCTCTTGATTACCAAAAAAGAAGGAAGAACTGTAATTTTAGTCTGTGTCGGACTTGTTCACTTCTAAAGAAGCAATTTATTATTATTAGTACTACTACTTTTTAAGAATTTCAACTTAGTGATTAGTGTCAAAGCTTTATTTTATTAATAATTAAGTACGGACAAAGTAATTAAGAATTAGATTCATGCGGCCCACTGTTCTTCCAACTAAATTAGATTTAAAGCTCATGACACTGCGATTCCCGCTTCAAGTCCAAGTCTTTTGTTTGAGGGGGAAGTTCGATATATAAATAAAATCATTCTTTGGGTGCCCTAATCTAGAGCCAGTAATTCCGAATACCAGGTTGTCTGTCTGTCTGTCTCTCTCTCTCTCTCTCTCTATATATATATATATATATATATTTATATATGTCTTGTGCATTTGAGCTTTGCTTTTAAAAGATTGCTGAGGTTATTTTACATGTGGGAGCAGCATGTAGAGATTCCAGTTCCCACTCAAATAAAAAATGAGGTTTTGGTGAAAGTGGAAGCGGCTAGTCTGAACCCTTTTGATTGGAAGATTCAAAAGGCTGTAGCAAGGCCTCTGTTACCTCGAAAGTTCCCCTATATCCCTGGTAAAAATTATCTTTTTTTTTTTTTTGGTATTTTAGAAGGTTCTAATGTCATAGATGTATTTTGTAGTTAGCTCTCAGAATGTGATCCAGTTATGTGGTTTGATTTTACAATTCTTGATTTTATCAGCATGCTTTTTTTCCCCCTTTTCCTTCCAGTTTTGTTATGTCCCTCCATATATTATGCATGCATGTGTATTCTGTGCACATCTTTATGTTATCATATTTATTCAAGATAAGCACCTTATTTGAATTCAACATACTGCGCAATTCTAAATAGGTTTTGCTGCAGCCTGCATCATACTTAACTCTACTTTGGGATACATGATGCGTCTGAATTAATTTTTTTTGTTGAAAATAGGTACTGATATAGCAGGAGAGATAGTAGAGGTTGGATCAAAAGTCAAAGATTTCAAAGTTGGTGACAAAGTGGTTGCTTATCTTGCTCATGATGTAATCTTCTCTCTAACTTATTTGATATTTTGGTGGTTTGTTGTATACTTCTTCCGTTCTAAATGTAAGAGTTAGATAACGAATTTATAGTAATTAAAAAAATTAGTTAAACTAATTATCTGTAAAAAATATGTGTTAGTTTTCTAAAATACCCTTTTAATTATTTGTTTTGGAAACTACTCCTTTATGTAAAACCCCTTAATAAGTGCAATTATTAGAAAACAAATTATAAATTTGGGAGATAAAATGAATTGGGGTATTCCATTTATAACCAAAGCGAATCCCTCCACTAGCTATGACTTTTAGGATGGGAGGGGTATAATTGGTTGCTTGATTAGATATTTCATTGGTGGCAGTGAGGAAAAATGTATAGCAGATGGAGAAAAAGGAAAAAAAAATAAAAAATCAAACTGCAGCATATGTTCAGTTTTTCAAATAAAAACCACCAGAGGTGGATTTATGCCTGATAAACGAGGGAAGCTAAATGTAATATTTTATGTCTCCATTATTATGTGCTAATGCGTTCATCTTAATCCCTTGAATGTAATTGTGTTTATTTTATTTGCAATCTAGAAAACTCTGATGATGCAGCCTGATTGCTTGCATGATTTTACAATTATTGCCAACATATTGTAATTAGGATTGAAGTACAAATATACCTATAAAGTATTGATTAATGTGTAATTTAGACCATAATGTTCATTTGGTTACAAAAATGTCAATGAAGATTCCAAAAGGGCAAAAAAAATGCCACAGCCGTCACTCTTTAATGGTGGCTCTCACATTTGTTTATGTTCTAAAAGTTGAAGGACATTGACTTAAATTAATGGGGATGGCATTTTTGCTACCTTTTGGAACCTTCCTGGGCTTTTTTACACCCAAGTGTATATTATGGTTCCAGGTTCGCATTTGTGAATACTTCATAGGTAGATTTGTACCTTAACTACTTTTATAATTACACATAATTCATTTTTACGGATGTTGTTCATGTTGAATGACAGCATGGAGGTGCACTGGCTGAGTTTGCTGTGGCTACTGAGAGATTAACAGTTTTGAGACCATCTGAAGTCTCAGCAGCTGAAGCTGCCGCTTTAACTTTGGCTGGTTTAACAGCTTATCAACCCCTCATTGAAATTGCTGGTGTCAAGCTTGATGGAACCGGTGAACAAAAGAACATCTTAGTAACCGCCGCCTCAGGCGGCGTGGGTCACTTTGCAGTTCAACTGGCAAAGCTAGGGAACACTTTCGTCACGGCCACTTGTGGGGCCCGCAACGTTGACTTGGTCAAGAGCTTAGGTGCTGATGAGGTTCTTGACTATAAGACTCCAGAAGGAGCTGCTTTAAAGAGTCCATCTGGTAGAAAATATGATGCAGTGATACATTGCACAACTGGAATTCCATGGTCCACTTTTGAGCCTCAATTAAGTGATCATGGAAAGGTAATAGACTTAACGCCTGGTTTGATTTCAATGGCGACTTTTGCTCTGAAGAAACTCACTTTCGCTAAGAAGCAAATAGTGCCGTTCTTTGCAACACCCAATAAAGAGAACCTGAGTTATCTGATTCAGTTGGTGAAAGATGGAAGGCTTAAATGTGTTATTGACTCTCGTTTCCCTTTGAGTCAAGCTGAAGATGCTTGGGCTAAGAGCATTGATGGCCATGCTACTGGAAAAATTATTGTGGAGCCATAAACACCACATACATATATACATATATATATATATACACATACACATACACATACGAATATGTACCTGCACACACGCACACATGTATACATATATATGTATGTAGAAGAATAGTGAATTGCAATATGGTGTATATTTGAGTTGAAGTGTGATAGGAACCACTGGCCTCTTACTATTTCATTCTAGGAAGAGGCGTGGCAGTTCTTAGATATTATGCATGTTTTTTATGTTGGTATATGCCTTTGTGTCTATCCTTAGTAGTTAGCTGTTGTTATTGCTAGTTAGCAGCAGTTCCATGTTTCAAGGGGTTGGAAGTTAATTTCAGCTATATGCTGTCAAAATTATGAATGTCATATCATGTATTTTGTCAAAGATATAAATAAAGTATTATTCAGTAGATTATTTCATCTTCTCTCTTCTTTAGTATTCTCTCAGATTCTTAATATAAAACCTATTTTGTGATATAAACTGTAGTATAAAGTAAGTTTTATATTAAGAATTGGAGCAGTGTGATTCTAGGATTTTTTTTTTTTCTCTACTCTTTTTCTTCTCTTCTTTTCATTTATCCTATTTTTACTTCTACTTTCCAGATTCACTTCATATTAGTTTCTGATTCTAGAGAACTCTCACTCCTTTTTCAATTTTATTTTTTCTTCTATTTATCCTATCTTCCTATTTTTGTTGCTCTTGATTAAAAAGACGTGCAAGTTGTGTGTGTATAAAGACTTGAATGAGTTTGGATTACAGAAAAGTATTCAGATTAGACTAAGCCTTACGATTCAAAAAAACACTTGCCAACTATAAACAACTTTTCATTAATCGGATTCTCATGTCGTTAACAAAAGCCAGGCTCACAACTTTATGTACAGTATGGACCAACTTCCTCTGTAATATGAATGGATCAACCAAACCTATCTTAGTTAATTGAAAGAAATAATATGGTATTAAATTTACTACCTCTAATTGGTTAATCGTAATAAATATATACTGATTTTCTTAATTACCCTATTTAATTATGAATATTGGAACTATCTTTGATGAGAATCCTTTATAATGAGTACAGATATTTTAGGAAAAATATTATAAATTTGAGAAACAAAGTAAATTAAAATATTATATTTAAGATCAAATTCAATCTTTTAACTAGTTTTTATATTAAGAATAGGGGACAGTATATTACAAGCTTTACATGTATATATAAGTTTTATGTTGACTAAGTTGTTCGTTTAATCATAAGAACACGACATTTCCTTCCAATCCAAGTGGACAACCATGGCGGATCTCTGGACACAACTTTGTAACCAGCTTTTGAATATAATCTGCGAGCACCCCGATCTTCCTCATATGCTCTCAGTGCCAAAAACTCACATCCCCACACATCTGATAGCACATCGCAGGCTCTTAACAATGCAGTTCCCACCTTCCTCCTCCTGTTCATCAATTACTCACACAATTAATCATCCCCTTCTTCTTCTTCTCCTCCTACAAGCATTTTTGTATATGATTCTTTGTAGTGAGATTAGGGTTTAAGTAGTTGACCTGAAATTGGAGGAGACCGCAATTCCAGAGATGTAAAGATATTCTGTTGCCTGAGGAGGGAGATGTTGAAGCACATTCTCATCCCTCAGGGCAGTCACGTCTACAACTCCCACTATCTGTTTTGATGAATCTGATGAACTCTTTGTGGCTGCTGCCTCCTCAGCAACCAAACAAGCATACCTAATATTGTTGTTATATCATTCCAATGTAATATGAATCAAACTTGTCTCAAACAACATCAAATATTAACTTGTTTTACGACAATCTGATCCATTAATCCACATTGTGGGGGAGAATTCTATTTTTTTTTTTTTAATGTTTTTGATAAGAAAAAGATTTTGAAGGGAATGAGTATATACCTGTAAATCTGACAGAGTGATTAATTTACCCATTCCAACCAAATCACGAAGCAGACAATATATTACACAGCAAAGTTACCGAAGGTAGAAGGTTTTTTTTCTTCAAGAGGGAGAAACTCTGATTTTTGAATGATGTAATTTGACCAATTGAGTGGGTTGAAAGGGTTTTTCAATCTTATAAAAATGTTTTTTTTAATCCCCCAAAAATGTTTGTAATTTAATGGTATGGATGCTTTCTATATGTGGAAGATCACAGTTCAATTTCATCAAGTTGTCAGTGTTTAATCTTCAACCTTTTGTCCCCAAAAAAAAAAATCCAACCGTTTAGAGTTTCGGATTAAATGAATCAGATTTATAAATGTTATGTGTAACCTTTCAAGAAGAAAATATTTTAAACTTACCTGTCACGAGGAGAGCTCTTTAACTTGTAATGGAGGCCGGAGAGCACTTCTGCCTACTGCATCGCAACAGGACATCAAGAAGTTAGGAAAGAAAATTTGCATTTCATAAATATTACATGAAAATTGATAAAAATTAGCTAACCTAAATTATTGTAAAATATACATATATATATGTTGATTTAAGAAAAAAAAAATCCTCCTTCTTTGGCAAAAAACAAAAAAAGAAAAAAAAAGTCCTTTATATTTGCAATAATAAAGATAACTTAAAAAAATTGGAAATAAAAAAAATGAATTCATGTATTACATTTAAAAATGGTATTGAATCTTGTAAACGGAGAAAGAGTTATCATTTCCTTAAACTGGGAAATGTTTAAATTTAAATTAATTAATAGTTTAATAGTGTGTTTGGTTGGAGGGGGGAGAAGAGGGGAGGGAAAATGAAGCCCCTCTCCTCATTGATTAAAAATTTTGAAGGGGTCAAATGTTCCCTCCCTCATCCCCTCATCTCATTTTAGCTCTCCTTCAAATTGAGGTTTTTGGAAGGAGCTAAATTTTGAACCTTATACTCTTATGATTTTTTTGATATTCCACAACTATTATAAAATATGTTATTATAATATTTATTTTAAATAAAAATATATTATCCTAAAAAATATAAATTATTATAATTAAAAAATATATTATAATAAAAATTAATATAAATTATTCTAAAATGAAAACATAATTAAATAAAATTATAATATTATAAAATTAATTGTTTTTTATAAATATATTATTTATTAAATATATTTTAAAGTTAAAAAAAGGCATAGCTTAAAGAAACTAAAATTTCAATTTTTTTAGAACATATAAAATTTGTTATTTTATTATTTCAAATATATTATTATATTAATTAGAATTAAAAAATATTGTACCAATTTTTTAATGCACATATTAATATGATAAGGCTGAATTTTTATTAAATTATACGATTTAAATTAAGATGCAAATTAATTTATATATATATCAATAAAAAATATAAACTAATATGTAAAGATAAAATAGTAAATTGATTATTACTATCCCTCCTCTCTCTCCTTCTTGAACCAAACAGGAGATCATTAAATATCCTTCCCTCCCCTCCTTTTTAATTAAAACCAAACAATGAGGATGAAACCTCCCTCCCTTTCTATCCCACCCTCCCCTCCCTCTCCTACCTTCCTTTCAAACCAACAGGCCCTTGAAAAATTTTTTTTTTAAAATAAAAGAGAAAAAAGATGCGGTATAAGTAAAATTTGAAAATAAAAAGAATATAATCATTAAGGCAGCTATATTTCACCCGCTCACCGATTCAACTAATCAATTGTTGTCTCTCTCTTTTAAATTTATAATTTTTTAAATTTTTTTTATATATAAAAGAATTTTTTTATTACAAAAAGGTTACTCGATAATATCGAGAGAATAATTAACAACTTCAAAACATATGACCCAGGAGGAATGCCGTTGAGAATGAGAATAAGTTAATAACTAACCTCATAACAACATTGGCTAAACAATTTCTCAAGATTGAAATTCCAAAAAAAGAAAAAAGATCAAAATCTGCTGAAGTTGAAGACAAGGCGAATGAATCAGAACCTGAAAGAACTGGAAGAACACAGGATTGAAGAGCGAGACAGGAACATGGAAAGCTTCCGCCTGAACATTCGCAGCATTTCTGATTTCCTCATCTTTCTCCACAAGCCTCCTCACTCTCCATCCATTCTCACACACCAAACACTCTCTCTCATCATCAGTCACACTCATCATTCTCCTTGTCCTTCTTCCTTCTTCTTTCTCTTCTTCTTCATTCTGCTTTTCGATCTGCAATTCCGCAGAAACTACGCTCGAATTCGAACACCTTCTCCTAAAACGATGTCGCTTCGTTCTCGCATTGTAATACCCCGCGTTTCTAACACCGTTAACAATGGCGGATTCCGACGAGCAGAAGAAGAATAGTTTTCAGCGAGGTAGTGGGAGGGTTAGTGGTAGCTAGCAAATGAGCCATAAAAGGGAGGGATTAAAGAAATGAGGGCTCATTTGGGAGAAAAAAGATCAGTGAACGGTGAGTGAAGAAGGGCATTGTTTTGTTTGTGGATTTGGTGGTGAGAGATTCGGGTTTGATTGAGGCCGTGAGTTGGAGAGAGGGAAGGGCCACGTGGAACAAGGCAAGCCAAGGGAAGAGGTACGTCTTTCAGGGAAGATTTTGAACATGAAGGACAAAACGTTTTGGGCCTTGGGAATTTTTTATTCTTTTTATGGTTTAAGACATTAATTTCTATTAAAAGTATATGAAATCAAAAGTGTAGTTTGGTTCGACTTTCATCAAAACTTGAACCCAACCAAATTTTAAAAATTTGATTTGCACAAAAAATATTGTTGTTCAGTCCTAGATATAAGATCATGTTAGGAGGTGAGTTCTAGTGTTAATATAAAATTTTAATTTATTTATTTTTTATATTTATTTTTTTAACCAATTTATATAACTTATAAACTAATATATTATCTAACATTACAAATTATTATTTCAAGAAGATTAGGTAAGTAATTTATTTAACTTAATAATACTTTTCCGGTCTTTAATATATGACTTAATTTGAGAGTTTACATCAACCTTATATATAAGATTTATTTCACATTTATTAATTTTTTTCAAATTAATCCTATTAATATTTTCTCAATAATAATCAAGTAAAAAAAAAAGAAAAAAATTAAAAAAGATACTTAAAATATTTTAAAATATGTCATATTAACTAATTTAATTGATATCAGTAATCTACCAAATTAATTAATTAAATCTTATATTAAGGACCGAATGAGTAATAGCAACATAAATAGCTCTAGATTAAGAATCTGATAAGTAACGGAATGCTTTTTTTTCTTTTAAAAGATTATTTGGCTTATGCAATTTGATTTAGTGGGGTTTATATATGGATAAGTTCATTTCATTTTTTTTCCCCAACTCTAATGGTTGCCCATTTTGTTTTATTTAAAAAAAGGTTTTTTTTTCCCAAACCGGAACTCTTTAGAATGCGCAGATTGCAAGTAAAATTACATTAACTCTTCATGTAAGAGTTAAATCTAATTGGTAAGAAGTCCATGACTCACAAAATTATGAATTGAAATGTCACTGCAATCGAAATTTTATATACAAATACTTATTTTGCATAGTAACATTGTAGTTCCAAATAACAGAATCACTTATTCCCATTTGTCATGAGCTACTTTTTTTCCGTGCCAAGAAAACAAAATCTCTCTCTCTCTGGTTTTTTTTTTTTTATGAACTTGATATTATTGATGGATTAAAATAAAATTAATACCATTTTTAGTTTCTAAAGTTTGACTTTTTTTTAATTTTGATTCTTGAAATTTAAACTTAATGATTTTGATCACTAAAATTGGTTTACATAAAGATTTTCAGTCTTCAAAATAGTGTTTTTGGTCTCTAAAATAAGATTTCAAGAACTAAAACTACTAGATTTCAAATTTAAAAAAATGAAAAAAGAAATACTTATTGAATTTCAAGATGATAAATAAGTGATTTTGATAGATTTTTAACATGTCAAAACCATTTCAAGTGTAACTAGCATAACCTATTTATCTTTTTAAAGTTCAATGGGTTTTTTTTTATCATTTTTTCTTTCAAATTTTAGGAACCAAAATTAAAATAATATCGAATTTCATAAACTAAAAATAGTATTAGCCACTTAAAATAAGGCATGAAATTTTACCATTTGGTATTGAATACTCCTCCGGTCCTAATTATAAGACCCAATTGACTTATTTGAGGAGATTAAGAAAGTAAGTTAAGTTGGTTATTTATAATAAATAAGTGTTGTCATTCCAAAAATATCCTTGCTAATTAAGTATATTGGCTAAAACTATCATTATTAGAAGAATTATCTTGGAAAAAAATACATAAATATAAGAGACAAAATGGATTGGGTCTTATAATTAGGACCAAATAAAAAGTCAAATTGGGTCTAAGGACCGGAAGAGTATATATATATATAAAATTCATCATTCCAGGTAACATGACCACTAAGGACATCAACAATCAACAACTATAACTAGTGTACCTTTTGGTCCAGCTCCAGCTGTCTCCTGATGTGCCTGTAGCCCCCTCCATCACCCACAAATTAACACAATCCATAGAAAACTTAATGATTTCCCTGATTCAGGCTAAATCCATAGAACATACAAACCAAAATCACATTGGGATGAAGACCTTGCAAAGTCTCTTGAAGTATTTTCCATCCACGCCCATATGAAAAGCCGCATTATGTGAGGATCATTAATCTTCAAAATTTTCCACCAAACACCATTCCCTCCCATGAATACCCCACCGGAGAAAATTTAAATTTTTTTCTCCTCCAATTTTTTCATCCAATTAAGCATTTAGGTTCTTATGATCATCAGATGACAAGGACTTCATAAGGATCTCGAAGCAGATACTATTAATTATAATCCTACAAAGAGCACGTGCCACCTTGTAAGGTGGAAAACTACTTCCATAAAAAATAAATAACTGAAACGAAAGGGTTACAAAATTAAAATAAAAGTTGCTTCCCTTACTTTTCTAGCGTCTCACCATCAGTATATTGCATATTCAACAAGTCTAAAATTATATGTGCATATTGGAAGAAAACTGAACACTTGATGTCATAGATGGGTCAGATAAAGCTTGAAACATTCAGGGTTTAATATCTGCATTCATCATTTTCCTACATAACATCACTGGAGGGCATAAATCAAAAAACAATATCTCCAAAAGAGTTCGTGCAAACTAAATCTGCAATGTAAACAGTTCAGACTTAGGATCAATGCTCTTCAATGTGGATGTTGTCAATTGATACAAGGCTTTCCACATAACATGAAAATTCCAAGAAGAAACCATCTGTCAAAAGGAACAAACTTGAATTCATCATCAGCATTGATATTGTACAGAGCCAGAAGAGTTTGTATTCTATGCTTCCTGACTTCAAATTCATTTATACAGAATAATTCATTCCTCCAAATAATCATTGGATGTAATACCCAGGGAGTGAGGCTGCTAGTATATTTCTTAATCCAACTCCATCTCTCCTCAGATGGGCCAGTACCCTCGTCCATCACCCACAACTCAACGTAATATTTATGTCCAGTCCATTTGTTACAAAGCACAGCAAATTTTGTCATCATACACGGCAAGCGTTTCATGTTTAGTCGAGTCTAATGGAGGCATTGGTATTATGGTAAATATTTCTCTTGTAATGTCAAATGAAATTATTGATTCACAAACTTCTATTCCTTCTTCATTCACCTCCGTCCCAAACCAAAACATATTTCCATTGGCAGTAGCAGTGTCCGCACTAATCATAAAACCCGAAAAGTCCCCAAATCCTACTTCCCTCCACAAGCCAGCGCAAAATGAATGCACTTCCACTTTTATCACTCGATAACCACAAGCCTCATCCTCATCCTCAAACATATGAACTAACACTATCTTATAATCATTAAGAATGGGACTGAATCCCAATCCTACCCGATAAACGCTCCGAAAGTGAATAATAGTTTCAGACACACGTCTTGTCTCTCCAATAGCTGGATTCCACAACAAAAATGTGGGGGGAGTCGTAGCATACTTACCTATTTCAAGACAGAGCAAGCCATTGCTGGAACCGACGATGCTCTCTGGTAACGAGGAACTGACCGAAGGTGTTTGGCAGTTGACGGAGTTTCATATGAAAATCAAGCAAATATAATTCCCAGGGATCAACTCTGCCATTCCAATGGAAAAGAAGAGAAGGGTTTTGATGGCGGGAGTGGCGGAGATGGTCGTTGATAAAAGACGGGGTTTTCAAGAGATATTTCCAATCTTTGCGCACACACCGAAATCGGATTAAGGATTTCACCGGCAGCCGTTTGAGAATGTTCCTCATGATTTCTTCGGGAAGAAATGGTGGGTGGCCATCCATTAGTATGTACTTCACCGTGCGAAGAACTGAGATAAAGAGTGGTGAAAGCTAGGGCTTGCAGAAAAGAAGGCCTTGGGTGGAAGATCCGGAGTAATGGCGCGCGCGCGTTTATATTAAAAAGTGGGGCCCCTATCTGTCAACTAGTACTCCTCCGGTCCTTATTATAAGACCACATTTGACTTTTTATTTGGTCCTAATTATAAGACCCCAATCCATTTTGTCTCTTATATTTATGTATTTTTTTCCAAGATAATCCTTCTAATAATGATAGTTTTAACCAATATATTTAATTAGCAAAGATATTTTAGGAATGACAACACTTATTTATTATAAATAACCAATTTAACTTACTTCCTTAATCTCCTCAAATAAGTCAATTGGGTTTTATAATTAGGACCGGAGGAGTAACATGGTGCATAATAAAGGTTTTTAATTTAATCTAGATATAAAATCTCACTCCATTTTGTTATTTATATTTATCTATTTTTTTATAATAATTTTTATAATAATTGTATATATTCAATGTTCTATTAACTAACTTTTATTTATTCATTTTTCAACATAATATATACTCATTTGGTCTATTTATAAATTATTTCCAACATATTTCATACAAACTAAGAAAAACATTAAACTTCGTTAACTCTCGTTTAAAATTTAATAACTTTTTAATTTTATTCCTATTAATATGTATTATAACTTATGTAAATAAAGTCAATACAATAATAAATGAAGGGTAAAATCGTACATCCATACAAAAATTTCTCTCGATGTCTTATAAATAGAGCCAAAAAAATATTTTCTTTCTGTCTTATAAATATGATCAAATGAGTAGTTATTATAAATAACTAACTTAACAAACTTTCTTAATCTCCTTAAAATATTCAACTAACTCTTACATTAAGGATCATGGATATTACTATTATTCTTTAAAAGAAAGAGGAGTGTTTATGACAATACTTTAAGGGGAAATTGCAATTTAGGACCTTGGAATTACAAATTGTCAAGGGTCCCTATCTGCGTTTTTGTAATTCTAAGGTCCTAAATTGCAATTTTCCTATACTTTAATGGGTTTTAATAACACTAGATTTGTAAATAATAACACGTTTTTATTAAAAAAATTTATTTGAGATATAGTAATTTCAAACTTATTTTCCCTTAAAAACATTATATATAAAAAAATAGATTAATACCTAAAGCCCAAATTGATTAGATGATTTGTTCCCACCACTTAATAAATGCAAAACAATATAAGGTAATTATCAAGTTTTGAGATATATAAAATGACTATGTTCGCAAGATAGATAGATATAGATATAGATATACACACACATATATATAATGACTAAAACAGTTAAACGATAAACGAATAATAACGAATAATAATAATTATATAGCAAATGGTCATACCATCTAAATAAGTTAAAAATGTTTGTAATAATGTTGGCAGAAAAAAACTACTACCCTGGTACTTAATATAAAACTCTGTTTAACTTTTATTTTAATTTTAAATATAAAACCTCAATCTACTTTGTCTCTCATATTTATACATTTTTTTCCAAAATAACTCTTCTAATAATGATAATTTTAGTCAATACAGTTGATTAATAAAGATATTTTAGGAAAGATAACACTTATTCAGGACAAATAACTAACTCAATTTACTTCTTTAATTTCCTCAAATTAGTCAACTGGCTCTTATAATTAGGATCGGAGGTAGTATTATTTTCATAAGCACTTGTTGATTCAATCACAAGTTTAATTAAGGATGATTATATTTTTTGACCTGAGTAAGGATGATTATAACAACGTAGCGTATAACAATAATGTCAAAGGAATTACAACTTAGTGACACAATATGTTACTAGTTTCATCTCGTTTGTAACCTCAAGCCATTAGTATCTATACTTTCTAATTGAAAATAATTAAAAGGGGTGTTTGGATTATTCAAGAAGTGCTTTTAAAAAAGATTTTTTTATAAATTGAGATAAATTTTTTCATATATTTAGTTGGCACTTTTAAAATTATGATTTTATTTAAATTAAAAAAAAGGCTTATAGCAACAATTGACTAACCAATGACTACTGCCTAAACGAGTAACTACTTTTTCACAAAAACTCATAGGTTCAATTACAAGGTTAACTATAAATTACCATTAACAACATCGTGAATAACAACAATTGAATAACAAGTGATCATATCATCAAATTATGCGACCAAATGTTTTCTTGTTGCTTTTTAAAGAAAAAAGATTTAAACATATGTGGCAATTTTTTTCTTTTTTTGATAGTACATACGTGGCAATTTTAATGTGCGGGAACAGATTATAATTAGCCACAATAGCGTGGTCAAGTGATCACCATAGCATGAAATTAAAGAGATTAAAGAAGTTCCTATCAAAAAAATATTTCAATATACACGGTTAAATATAATAATTTACATAGATTAACACACACTTATGATAATAAATAAATAACTAATTTAACTAATATTTTTAATACCCCAATATTAGTTACTCCTTCCGATCCTAAATATAAAACCCATTTTGTAGTGTAATTTACATTACCAAACGGGTTTTATAATTACAACGAGAGGAGCATGTAGTTCTCATATTGAGGATATGTGATAGTATTTGGAAAACACATACCCTTGCGAGGTGGAAAACTACTTTCAAAAACCAGAAATTAAATGAAAACACAGGAAACTCAATTGATTCACTAACTCCTATATAATAAAAATCATCTCTACATTTAATGGACAAGCCCCAAATGATATATCCATATTTGAAAACCGAACAATCTGCCTTAATAGGCCTAATAAAGATACAAACATCTGATGTTCTTGATCAGTACCACCACTCAGCAACAATAATATGCTCAGAATGATCCAAAATGGTAGCTACATATATGTATTTCAATCAGAAATTCTTAAGCAAAGAAAATCTACCATGTATGTATTAATTAAGATTTAAGTTCAAGCCTCAATGTTGTTAACTGATATGAGGCTTTCCCCATAATTGAAAATTCTATTACACCTACAAGGAATAGTGAACTTCTTGAATGCATTAGTAGAGAGATCAAACAGATATGTATAAAAGACTTTATTTCCACATGTTCGTCTTCATCATCTTCAGGATGGGAGAAGGAGGCGATTTCATTCCTTCAGATAGTCGAATGGCAATGGGCTTGGCAGTATACTAGCCAGAGGTATGCCAAGGGATCAAAATACAACAAAAATAAGCCTTATCCTATTAGATGAGTCGGCTAAATGAATCGCACAACGCAATGCCATTGTTCTAACCACTTTTGAAGCAGCTTTTTCTTTTCTTTTTTTTTTTTGGTGAAAAAGAGGGGCTAAGGCCCAAAACAAAGAGATTAACTAGCTAGAGTTCTTCGCATAATGCCAATCCCAGCTTGATCTTCCAGAAAAACTTGCTAGACTTCTGCTGGAGGCACATTCCAAATGAACTTTCGTCTTTCTTGATCTTAGCTTAACGCAGCGAGCAGGCGGGCGCACCTATTCCCTTCTCTGTAAATATGCTGGATTCCAACTTGCCATTCTCTATTCAGCAACTCGTTAAAATTATTGGCTAGAACGTTGCTTCCCAAGATCCTCCGTGTTCTGTTGAGTTCCTCTACCAATTCTGCAGCATCACATTCAACAATGATCTTTCTAAAGCCCATTTGCCAGCAAATATTAAGTCCTTCATAGATCCCCCACGCTTCGGTTATATGTGCATCACACTCCTCCAGCTGGATAGCAAATCCTTGTAGTCCTTCACCTTCATTCCAGCGAATTAACCCCCTCCCTTTCCCAGGGCAGCACTTTGTAATAATGAAGCCGACCAGCAAAAAGCATTAAGGATTTAACAACCATAAATACCCAAATGAGATAAGCTACGATAGATTCATTTCCTCCAAAAGTGTTTAAATAGAGCAAATATTCAATGTAACAATCAAAATTCAGGATCAAAGCTTTTCAACGCTGTCGTGGGCAAGTAATGCAAGACCTTCCACATAATTGAAAAGCTCAATGTTGTAGGAGTTAGATCCAACAGCAAGCTTAGATCCAACAGCAAGCTTCTTAAACACACCAGCAGTGATATTGAGCAAATACAAAATTGGTGTTTGACCATCATTCTCAGTATCAAAAGGTAGGAAGACAATCTCATTCTTCCACATAGTCACTGGTTTTAACTTGGATGGACAAGGGCAACTACATCTTTCAGTCCAACTCCATTTCTTACAATCCTGCCTGGATTCACGTGTATCCTCCTCCCTCACCCACAAATGAATGGAATATTTATCCTCTCCTTTAATGCAAGCAACCACAGCAACTTTGTTCTCATAAACAATAAGCCTTTTCTCATCATAAGAGTTTAATATAGGCATTGGTATTACTGTGAACTCTTCTTTTGATAGGTCATATGAAAGTATCTGATCATAATCATTCCCACCCTGCTTCCCACCAATCCAAAACACAACTCCATTAACAGTGACATTTCTAGAACCACGAACTCTTAAGCCCTCCAAGTTCGCAACTTCAACTTCCTTCCATGACCCAGAGTTCAGTGAATAAACTTTCATTCGCTCAGGCACATAATCACGAACTTCAATTCTCACAATCTTGTAATCATTATCATTTGGACTGAACCCAAATCCGAAAAAATCAGCAATCGCATAATCAGTATTAGTTTCAAGACGCACCTTTCTGACCTTTCTAATCGCTGGGTTCCACAATAAAAGGGCATAAGAAACACCATTCTCCACGACGCAGAGCAGGCCGTTGCTGGAACCAACGATCCAAGCAAAATTCCAATTGGCCAAAGGTGATTTTTGAACTTCAAGGACTTGCATGTCGCGATCCAGAAAACCAACCTGCATTTGCGCGGACCCAGTACCGTGCCATTTGAGGAGAAGTAAATGGTTTTGATGGCTGGACTGGTGGAGCTGGTCTCGGATGAAGGATGGAGTCTTGATGAGATTTTCCCAATCTTTGCGTACGCATCGAAAGCGGATTAGGGATTTCACCGGAAGTCTTTCGAGGATGTTGATGATCATATCGTGGGGAAGAACGGCTAGGTCGGCCTCCATTATCAGCTGCTCGCTAGCCACAGGAGACGAAATCTCATTAGAGAGCGTCCGTGCGGTGATGATGGTACTGGATGCTGGTTCTCCCTTCAACTCTTCGACTGGGCTTGAAACTTGAAAGAGGCTACAAAAGCTTTTTCAAAGGCGAAGCTTTGAGTTTTAACCCTTTACGGAAAAGATAACGATCGCATATGTAAGTCATGGTTGAGAAAAAATCTGAGGAAAATCATTCAATCTGTAACATGGAAACCATTTAGCAAAGAGGGATAAACATACTCATAAGATTATGAAAATATTGCATTTTGATGCTTTTGTCATCATTTTGTGTCATTGTGTGTGTGTGCCGTCACCATTTTTTTTTATGAACTTATTTTCAAGAGAAATTGGAATGATCGCACTTTTTGTGCTTTTGATCATCCCCACCTTTCCATGTTGAGGCTGTTGGATGATGAGAAGAGGGTTAGAATTTAATGTTTTATATTCAGATTAGTCATTTATACATATATATGATCCAGTTTTATTTATTTTTAATAAAATGATCAATAATAGAAAATTAAAATGAGTTATCCAACTAAAGTTTTTTTTTTTTTGGTACAGAGTTATCCAACTAAAGTTGTTGTAAGAGTTTGAGGGGAATGCTCCAGTTTTTTTTTTTTTAAATAAGGTGTTTAAATATTCTAGAAGAATCCATTAAGGAGTACCCAATATTTGAAAGTTTTTTTTGACTCTTACATGCTCTAGAAGTTTTATTTCACAATATTTTTACCCGCCGTTAAGTTTAACTGTTAAATATGCCGGTTAAACTATATAATTTAATGATCAAACTTAATTACAGATAACAACTAAAATACTTTTGCTGTGAAAATAAACTTTTAGAACATATAAGAGTGGAAAAAAAAATGTTAAGTGCTGAGTATTCTTTTGTGTATACTTTTAAGGTATTTAAATATTTTATCCAGAAAAAAAAAAAGACATGTCTCCTGAGAAACAAAAGTCTAATGCTTGATGAGATTGTGAATATTAGTTTCTATTGTTCCACTGTACTTGGTTACTTTCTTACTCCTCCGGTCCTTATTATAAGACCCAATTTGACTTTTTATTTGGTCCTAATTATAAGACCCAATTCATTTTGTCTCTTATATTTATGCATTTTTTTCCAAGATAATCCTTTTAATAATGATAGTTTTAACCAATATACTTAATTAGTAAGGATATTTTAGGAATGACAACACTTATTTATTATAAATAACCAACTTAACTTACTTCCTTAATCTCCTCAAATAAGTCAATTGGGTCTTATAATTAGGACCGGAAGAGTATCTCGTTAGTTTAGGAAGCAACGGACAAAAGGTATGATATTTTAAAAGGAATGCAAATTATCAGATATGGGCTCATTGGCTCTTCAATCTCCCAAAGGATGCAATTTTATACGTAGGCATGTTATGACTTTAGTAAATGCTGGATACTCAACTTTAAATTTGTTTGCTATCAAAAACAATTCTGGGGTGTTTGGAACACCCCATAATTACTTTTCAAAAGTACTTTTTTACAAATCAAGACAAATTCCTTTATATTTTTATTTTGTATACTATAAAAGTACTTCTGAAACCATAATTTTATTCTTACCTAAACACTTTTTTTATTAGTAATCATTCTCATATTATCAATCAAAATTTAATTCATGTACCATACTGTTCTTTTGACAAGATAATCAAACAATCTAAGAAGTTGTGTGGGTGAAAAAAGTCTAAGAAGTATCATTCAATCTATGACATGAGAAATTGTATAGATAAGTTGTAATGAAATTCAAACCATTCAAAAATTTAATCTGAACAAATCATATTCAAAATTTTCCAATATGCAATTTTTCAAAAATAAGTTTATTTTTTTTAAAGAAATGTGAGCTGGTAACATTCAATGATCCTATAATATTATGAAAATCACATTATCACACTCAACTTGTACAATTATTACGGAATGTATAATTTAACAACATTGATATTTTGGGAAAATTTTCAGTTAAGTCCAAAAATATAAACATAATAGTAATAATAAAAAGTCCAAACAGATTTTGAAACTCCAAATCAGTCCCTCTGTCCCATAATGAAATTAAATTGTAAATTTCCATATTTTGAGTTTTCATTTTTTAGTAAAAAGAGAATTTTTTTTAACTTTTTATTATTTGTTATAAATTTTCATATGTTGAGATGTTATTTCCCCTCCGTTATTTGTTGTTCAAGCTTGTATTCCACTTATAAAGTTAACATGGTCGTTTTGCTTTCTAATTTGATCTCATTTTAGGTTTAAAAGACTCCAACGATATTTCAAAATGTTTTGGTAATTTTTTTTTCAATAGTCCCTTTTATGGGACTTAAGTGAAATTCTCCTTAATATTGTTAAATTTTTTTGCTAAACTTAGGTATCTTCTTATTGGTGGTAATTTTATTTGAGACATTATCGGATCGTAAATATGAATACCTCTCCTAATGAGGATTCGAATATTGGTTTGTCACATTGTAAGAGAATAGCCTATTCTGCTAGACCTAACATCCGCTGATATATTTTTTGAATTTTTAGTTGCATATATGTCCATTTTCTTCCAACATTTTTTGTTTCGTAATTTTGTAGTTGTGTTTCTTTCCAGTTTTTCATTTTAAGGCCGACCTATTGTTTTAGTTCATTTGGATTTTGCTTAAATCAACTCATTATAATGGGCTAGCTTTTTAAGTTATAATCATTTTACTTGTTTTTATGAAATTGTCCGCGGATTAAAAAACTGTTTTTGGAATTTTAAAATGAAGAAATTAATTAAACTTCCAAAAGACTTTAGAAGAAAGTTGGTTTAATTAATTAACTTAATTATGCTAAAATAAGTTGATTTTTTTAATTAACTTCCTAAAATACGTAAGTTTAGAAACCCTATAAGTAAAATTCCTTTAACTTACCCGACAATGGTAATATTACAGTTCAGATAACAAAATCAATTACCATCTAGTGTTTTTAAAATAAAAGCTAGATCCTGATAAAAAAAATAAAAACAAAAGCTAGATAAATAATTTCCAAATATTAAAAAAATTAATAACCACTTATTTGATGTCTTAATTTCTCTAAATTGACATATTTAATCACGCATATTAAAATTAACCCTTAAATAAGTTTCATTAGCATTTGAAATCCGTAAACTACCACAAGTATACTTTTGGTAAAACATTATAAATATTGAAAGAAAAATAAATTAAGATATTGTATTTAAAGCTAAAGTAAACCCTTATCTAGTTCTTGCATTTAAGGTTGCGGACTTTTGACCCAAAAAAAAAAAAAAAAGGTTGGGGACTTTTTTGTTGTGTCAAGCTGCTTTCATTTTTGATGTCCGGTCCTAAAATTAGTTTTCTTCATCGAATGCACTCTAAATCATCATTCTACAAAGTACTTCAACCCTAATAATGTTGGATAAAACCAAACTTAATCATTTTACAAAGGACTTCACCAACTTTAAATACATAATATAAACTATCATGGGTTCATTTCCGCAAAAAGGGCTTACATTACATACATTTCTAAGATAATTAAAATCTAGGATCAAGGTTCTCCAATGTTGATATTGCCTATTGATACAAGACTTTCCACATAATTGAAAATTTCATTTTCATAGTCATATCTAAGCTTAACATGCATCTCAAACTCATTAGCAGCGGGATTGAACATGTAAAGGGCAATTTCGTTTCCATCGTCTACATCTTCATCTTCATCATATTCACCTTCAGATTCTTCATATACTTCACATTCACCTTTAGATTTACATACAATTTCCTTCTTCCAAATAGTCACTGCTTCCAATCTTAACAAGCCACATGACCTACTTGTTATTTGTTAGTCCAACTCCATCGCTCTCTTGATGCCCCTGTACTTTGCTCCATCACCCACAATTTAAAGCAAAGACCAAAGTTTTTATCACCTTCGTTCCATTTCTCACAAAGTATGGCAAGATTATTCTCATACACAGTAAGCTTTTTCTTCATGAAAAAACTTACTGGAGGCATTGGTATCAATGTAAACACCTCATTTGCCATGTCAAATGAAACTATCAAACAATTATCCAAACTTCCATGTTCCTTGAACCCAAACCAAAACACAGCTCCATTGGCACTAACAGCTTCAGGCTTGCCAATAATTATACCCTTCAGGTTTCCAAATTCTACTTCCTTCCATGACTTTGTAGACAGTGAGAACACTTCCACTCGAATTATTCGTTCACTCTTCTTGTCAAGCACAAAACCACCTTGTAATCATTAACAATTGGACTAAACCCAAATCCTATATGGCACAATCCTCTAAAATCCTTAATAGGTCTGACCTCTCTGGTTGCTGGATTCCACAATAAAATGGAATGTAGGGATCTACTGCTACTATCATCTCCGGCCAGAAGACAGAGCAAGCCATTACTGGACCCCACTACGTATACGGACTGAAAGGAATCAATCAAAGGTGCTTTCTGCACTTCAAGTTCCCGCATGTCGCAACCCAGCACACTCAGTTGGAAATCAAAGTTTCTGCAATGACCCCATTGGAAATCAAAGTCCCTGTAACCACCCCATTGGACAAGAAGTGAAGGGTTCCGATGAGTGGAGTGGCCAAGATGATCTGCTATGAAAGACGGTGTCTTGACAAGATTTTCCCAATGTTTGCATACACATTGAAATCGGATTAGGGATTTTACCGGAAGTCTTTTGAGAATGTTGATCATGATTTCATCGGGAAGAAAGGCTCTGTCGCCTTCCATTATCAGAGGCATTACAGTCCTATCCATTGATGATGGTATCACAGAAGAAGAAATTGTTCGGAATCCACAGAGGAGATCGAAAAAACAAGGTAGGTTAAGTCAACTGGAAACCCAGCAACTTGGAGATTAAATGGACGGAAAAGTACAAAGAAATCAAAAGAAGAAATCAACCTTTGCTCCGTGCTTCAGTCTTGTCCTTAACGCAAATGCATAAACGAGAAGTGTGAACTGTGAAGAAGAAGACGGCGGAGAAGAACAGGAAATGAAATGGCCGATGAAGGCATCCTTCGCGCTTGAAAAATGACGCTCGAAGTTCTCCCCAGGGCCTAAATAGGTGATCTTCAGTTTTAAAATGCGAGTAGCGGATCAATCTCAAATCCAAATCTTTTGGCCGGAAAAAAACACAAAAAAAAAAAAAAAAAAATCTCAAATCCCAACCCTACTTTCATTGCCTTTGTTTTTTTTTTTAAAATCATCTCGGAAAAAAAAAAACCTCCCTCCAAGGAGATCCCCCCCCCGGGCCAAATTTTAAAATCTCACCTTGAGATCTCACAAATTATTAAATTTCAGTGCATTAATTTGACATTTCATAATTTCTATGTTTTTTTAATAATTCCCCCACATTTTAGTTTTTCTTGTCAACAGTTTAGTCTTTTAATTATACTATTATATAACATTTCATTTTTATCTTTAATTTTGGAAATTGTTTCTAGTCTTTTGCCCTTTACTCTCAAGTCTTAATGTCATTATTAAAAAAAGAAGCTAATATTACAATTTTAAATATTAACAAATATTTATATTACTTTATTAAATTTAATTTTACTCAAAAATACCACTTGACTTTCAAAATATTAAAAAAGTGATCTAATTACTTTTATAAAAATATTGATTATTATCTTAAAGATTTTGACACGTTAGCATAATCTGTTTATCATTTTGAAATTCAAATACTCTTCCGGCCCTTAATATAACACCCATTTAATTAATTTAATTATATTAAAAAAGTTAAGTAAGTTAGTTAATTATAAGAAATATAACATGCTTTTTCTAAAACACTATAATCATTTTTCTTAATATCCTTTCTCTCTCACATACTTGATTATAGTTGAGGAAGTATCTATAGGTTAATTTAGAAAAAATTGATAAATGTAAGAAATAGGTCTTATATTTAGAACCAAAATTAACTTAATAATTAGGTCTTATATTAAGGACAAGAAGAGTAGTATTTTTGAGTCATTTTTATTAAAAGTATCATAGGGTTAGAAAATTGAAAATTATATAATAAAATTGAAGATTTAAACTGAAATTATGCATAAAGCCAATTGATACAATCGGTAATACTAATTTTACATGTCATGATAACGGTTGTCTTGAGTGCATTTTGAAAAAAGTTCTCTATTTTTTTCATTTTAGATACTCCTCCGGTTTTTAATATAAGACCCATTTAACTAATTTGATTAGATTAAAGAAGTTAGGTAACTTAGTTAATTATAAGAAATATGACACGTTTTTCCTAAAATACCATAATTATCTTTTTTAATACACCTCTCATCTTTTATTTGATTATGGTTGAGGGAGTATCATATGGGTAATTTAGAAAAAAAATTAATAAATATGATAAATGGGTCTTATATTTAGAACCAAAACCAACTCAATAATTAGGTGTTATATTAAGCACAAAAGAGTTTTTTTTTTTTGTTCATTTTTTTAATTCCTGCTTTGACGTTACCATTCTTTTGCGCGGGTTTCCAACCGAGGCCCTTCTTCTACCCGCTGCGAACACTGAACTGAAACTGAACTGAACTGAACAAGCCAATAACCATGGAATCGCGAGCCAGTGATGAGCCCTTGCCAATGGACGTTGAACTGCAGCTGCCTAAAGAGCCTCCCAAAATTCACCGCCTCGACCAGTCTGTCGTCAATCGAATCGCCGCCGGTGAGGTCATCCAACGCCCTGTCTCCGCCGTCAAGGAGCTTGTCGAGAACAGCATTGACGCTAACTCTTCCTCCATAAACGTCACCATTAAGGACGGAGGCCTCAAACTCATTCAAGTCTCCGATGATGGCCATGGAATTCGAGTCGGTTGTTTAGCCCCTTTTCTTTTCTTACGTCATTTTGGGATAATCAGCTCTTTGAACTAGCAATCTCTTCTCGCTTATTGTGCCTAACTAGGAATATTTTGTTTAAAACTTAGCTGTTCTTGGTTTAATGATAGATACTGCCTTTCTTTTAAATATATTTTTGTGTGCTTACTTTGGCATTGTGTTCCTGTAGTATGAGGACCTGAGCATACTGTGTGAGAGGCATACAACATCAAAGTTGTCTTCATTTGAGGATTTATGGTCCATTAAATCAATGGGATTTAGGGGAGAGGCTTTGGCAAGCATGACGTATGTTGGCCATGTTACAGTCACTACCATCACCAAAGGGCAGTTGCATGGTTACAGGTGAACAACAGTTTAATATGATTATGTGAATAAGACAAATGTGGAAAAATCCAAAGTATTATGTTTTGCACTGGTTTGTGGTTTGAAGACGTTAAGAGTTTTGCTCGCATAGCCAGTCAGTTGTGATTTTAATATCTTTTCTACTTTGGTGATCCAACTGAAGTATACAACTTTTTGTTGACCTGTTCTGAATATTCGGTTCAGGGTATCATATAGAGATGGCGTTATGGAGCATGAACCAAAAGCATGCGCTGCTGTAAAAGGAACCCAGATAATGGTATGAACAAGTCTTTTTGCTGTGCTGGCATGAATGACAAAGGAGTCTTTTTCCTAAAGTAGTGCGAAGTTTTCTTTTTTGCTTGGAATCACATACAGAATTCAACTGAAGACCCTGAACAGAAAAAAAAAAAAATGCTGAATACAAAGATCAGTCTGATTAAATATGTAGAATTTTGCGTTTTATTTCCAATTTAATATAGCTACGTAATATATATGTATGTAGTTGTACATAAATATTTTGCTATTTATGAGTCTTTTTGCGCCTTCTCTTTTCACCTAGGTTTTTTATTAAAAAATTTTCACCAGACTCATTTTGTCCCCAAAATGAAAGAAGAATTTATTGATGATATGAGTGATCACTACAGAAAGGAACAAAAACAATAGACAAGAGGCCCTCTGTTATGTAATTTGAGAAAGAAGAGGAAAGAGAGGGAAAGAGTAGGGAAAGCAGAGAGAGACGAGAGAGAGGGAGTCGAGAGATACTGAGAATTCAGAATGGATTCGATATTCACTGGAAACAAACATCACACGTACAATTGATTTAGGAACCCCTTTATATAGGTTAGCTCCCAACGGCTAATTCTGTACGGAATCACTGAACTAACTAACTGTAACTAACTACTTCTTATATTTTTAATATAACAATGCCCCCCCTTCAAAAGATCCTTGCCCTCAAGGATCAATAATCTGAAAATCTGGAAATTGGTTCTGTAAACCGAATAATGATACCCAAGTTGCCTCTTCACCAGGAAGTCCCTTCCATTGAACGAGAACCTCTGTAATAATCCTTCTTTTCTTTCTACCAACCCTCTTGTTTAATATTTTTTCTGGATATAGAGTGGTAGGGACTGCTGGCCAGTCAATAGGTGGATGTCTCTGCTTAACACTTGGGTCTGGACAGAGTTTAAGCATTGAGACATGGAATGTAGGATGAATTCTGGATTCAGAGGGTAATTCCAGACGGTAAGCAACAGCACCAACCTTCTTCAGAATTCTGTAGGGACCAAAGAATCTAGGAGCTAGCTTTTGAGAGCTTCTAGTTGCAGCTGAAATTTGCCTATAAGGTTGCAATTTAAGAAAAACCCATTGGCCTTCTTGAAACTCCCTATCTGAACGCTAGTCTGCCCTTTGCTTCATAGTATTAGCAGCCTTGTGTAGGTGATGCTTTAGGACAGCTACCATTCTTTTCCTAGCTTCAAAGCTTCTGTCAATAGCTTCAACCACAGCAGCTCTAGGGATGTAGGGAACATAAATTGGAGGTTTCTGCCCATACAACAACTCGTGGGGTGTAATTTTAGTAGAAGTGTGAAAGTTAGTGTTGTACCACCATTCTGCTAAAGATACCCAAGAACTCCACTCCTTAGGGCTTTCCCAACACATACAACGTAAGTAGGCCTCTAAGCATCTGTTTAAGACCTCTGTTTGACCATCACTTTGAGGATGGTAGGCCGATGTAAGCTTTTGTTCTACCTTTAAGACCTTGAGGAATTCTTTCCAAAAGTTGCTGATGAAAATTGGGTCCCTATCACTTATGATTTCAACAGGGGCTCCATGTAACTTATACACTTGGTCTAGGAAACATTGAGCAAGAGTAGATGCTGTATAGGGATGAGAGAGGGGAATAAAATGGGCATATTTAGTCATTCTGTCCACCATAACCCAAATAACGTCCTTATTTCCAGATTTGGGTAAACCCTCAATGAAATCCATTGAAACACTTTCCCAAACCTTGCTAGGGACAGGTAGGGGCTGCAATAAGCCTGGAGATGCAGTAGTCTCATATTTACAGCGAGCACAAGTATCACAACCCTTAACAAAGTCCTGCACATCCTTATGCAGATGTTTCCACCAAAACAGTCCCTTAACTCGTTGATAGGTGGCTTGAATTCCTGAATGATCCCCTTGTGGACTAGCATGAAGCCACTCCAATAATTTCTGCCTTAGTGAAGCATCATTTCCCATTGGAAGTTTGTCTTTTCTCCTTAAGTAAGTGCCATCCCACGTGTATTTTCCAAGAGCAGACCCCTTCCTCTCAATTTCAGAAATAATGGCAGCCAAATCAGCATCATTCTTCCAACTTTCCTAAATCTGATTCATTAATTCTGGAGAAGTAGTGTCAAGGGACATTTGTAACAGCTGTGAACTAGGTAGTCTTGACAAGGCATCAGCTACCGAGTTATCATTCCCCTTCTTGTACTGAATCTCATAATCATACCCCATCAATTTAGCTATCTAGTACATTTGAAAAGGGGTCTTTAGCTTCTGTCCAAGCAAATATTTAAGACTTTGCTGGTCTGTTC